CATAAAGGTGCATCAGTGAAAGCAAGTAAGGCTGAAACAGTGAAAGAGAATGCTCAGACTTCTAATTCTCCTTGTCCTTGGTCGTCAGCCAATCAGAGCGCGCGTTATATATCAAAAAATTTATAAACTCTGATGCAAACACGGCAGTCGGCCAATCAGAACGCGCGTATTATTCAAGTTGTTTAATAGAATTGTTATCATGTAAGATATCTGTTTTGGTATTGCCCGTGAATAAGGCTCTATTAGGTGCTGTTACACAATACAATTTATTCAGTGACCTCGTACTTTTCATACACTGATGTTAGAAGTGTTGCCGAAACACAGTCTCAACAATCTGATTCATAATCGTGTGAGGAAGTAGCTGATCCCATTAAAGTGTGCTCAATACACATAAAGTGTACAGCTAGTTATATATATATATATATGATATCAAAGAGGCAAGATTTTGTTGTTACTCCGAGTTTCGTGCTACGCACTCATCAGACAGTATTTAATGAAATATTTAATGAATTTAATGAAATATTAAATACTGTCTGATGAGTGCGTAGCACGAAACTCGGAGTAACCGCAAAATCTTGCCTCTTTGATATCATATATACAATCTGATTCATATAGAGATTTTGCAGTTATATTAAAAACTCGTGAAACCTCAAGAAATATTATCATTGATAAATAATTTGATATCCTTCATCTTATTTTAAAAAAAACATTAGTTGGATGAATTATGTTGACACTTTTTCTTTTTCATTATTTCTCAGGTTGATGTAATTAATAAGATAGTTATAGTAAGTAGTGACTGCAGTAAAACCTCTGTTATACGGTCACCTAGAGTAAAGACCAGATGACCACTTAATGGAGGTTTGACCGCTAAATAGAGGGCCGTTAAATAAAACCTTGACTGTACTGACAACATTGCTTATTGTTTTCTGAGATCCGTGAAATACACTCTAATGTGTATAGAAACCTATAAGGGACTTGAAACGTGTAACGACCGTGCATTTCTTTAGTACCCAGCGCGCCGGAATATTCAAAGCTCATTGAAAATTCGAAAACGAACGTTATGGCCATATTTGGAAAATTCGGTCGTTGGATAAGAGATTTAAGGCCTGTTATGGTTGGCTGTAGGGTAAATTTAATTGTTAGGTGAAATAAGGAAATGAGATGCAAATTCGATTTGAATATTCCAGCGGTTTTCACGCCGTTACATGTTTCAAGTCCCATATAGGTTTCTGTCTACACTTTATTTACTCTTGGTGTATCATGATGAGTTTTGCAATTGTCTTTTGTTTTGCAGGCTTATTTAAACCACTTTAGTAATACCTAAAAGTTTTTTTTTATTGTCTCGTTTTCCTTTTCTTAATTTATTWACCGACGACTTTGCTACAATTTGAGTATATCAGGTTCATAGTTCATGAAATCCATTGTATTGATATTTAATATTTGTCTGTTAACCAAGCAATATCATTTCAATTTCAAGGGAATGTTCCGTGGATTGGAAGACCATGAGGTAAGCTGTAACTATTGCTTATTACATTAGATCTGTAGATAGCTAGTRTAAARATATCAAAAGTTCACAGGTTTACAGGTAATCAAAAATGGCCGATAAGAGGACAAGTATGCCGATGAAAACAGAATTATATTAATGAATATTTAGATAATGATAAAGTGAAAATAAAGTTGAAAATCTCAACCACTACAGTGTGCAACTAACCTTCCTTTCGATGTCGATGTATTCTTATTTCTGCGTCACATTGATGTTATGACGTCACATTGATGTTATGACGTCACATTGATGTTATGACGTCACATTGATGTTATGACGTCGTATTGAGAATTTTGTATGTAAGGAACCCTCCCCATCAACCATTGCTAATGCTGGAAGACCATTTAAATATTATTTTGCTTGTTTCATTCTGATTGGATTTCGTTTATCTTGTGTTTTAGGGAATCGAGGTTGACAAATATGGCAGGGTAAGCTAAATGTAAATGCAGATACATAATGGTGCATCAGCGAAAGCAAGTAAGATCAGTAAGGCTGAAACAGTGAAAGAGAATGCTACAACTTTAAGCTTCAGTAATTAACAGCAGCCATAATCTTCCATTGGGAGGGTTCTAGTGCACAGACATCATTTTCCAATGTGTTTGTCCGTCAGCTCTGTGCTAGTTGGCACTGTCTGATAAATAATGACAATCAACCAACAGAGTTTTATTTTGGGTAATATAAAGTTCAGTTAAGGTTACAGTAGACTGACAATCGGCAACAAACATAGACCTTCAGTTGTTCTAATGAGCTTGTAGCATTGTTTTCCTATAAAATATCTGTTTTGGCATTGCCGTGAATAAGTTCCTGTTAAAAGACCTCATACACTGATTTAGAAGTATCGCCGAGACGCACACTCAAAACAATCTCATTCATTTAAGCGTGGCTTTCACTAGCGCACAAGCATAGCATAAGCACAAGCATGAGAGTCATATGCGCCAGTGAGAATGGGCTAAAAATAAGCATAAGACATTGAGCATGCGCACGAGCGTATTATTTCGGTATCAGGCTATGCTTATGCTTATGCAGCTCCGTTCTCACTAAGCATAAGCATGAGATAAGCATATCAAGAAAATCACAGAGCAATGGACGAGAAGAAGCTAACTGCCATGATTCTTATAGACTTAAGCAAAGCATTTGACAGTATATGCCATAATACCCTTCTATTCAAGTTAAAAAATTTAGGGACATCACCAACGGCCATCAAGTGGTTTGCAAGTTATCTCACAGATCGGCAACAGTCTACTAGGGTTGGTACGTCTTTATCTGACCAACTGACAGTTACTCACGGGGTTCCTCAGGGGTCCATACTGGGACCTATGCTGTTTGGACTGTACATGAATGATCTGCCCTCTGTGGTCAAGTACAGTCATGTTGAGTCATATGTTGATGATACGAAGATCTATCTGTCATTTGCCGCAAAAGACGTTGACTCATGTTTGTCTCAAGTAGAAGAGGATCTGCGACGCATTGCAGAGTGGTGCTGTGCTAATAGTCTCCTTATTAACCCTGACAAAACAAAATTCATTGTCTTTGGAACACCACAGATGCTTGCTAGGGTATCAGGTCTATGCGTTCCATTCTTGGGTCAAGACCTTTTTCCAGAACCTTTTGTGAAAGACCTTGGGATCATACTTGATTGTAACCTGTCATTCAATCAGCATATTAATACACTTATGTCATCTCTTCTTGGCAGCCTCTGCAGGATAAATAGAGTTCGCCATCTGTTCACTAAAGATACCCTCCTCACGATTCTGAATTCCCTAGTTTTTAGTAAACTCTTTTACTGCTCTACTGTATGGTCTGGTACTTCAAAACAAAACATCAATAAACTACAACTTTTACAGAATTTTGCAGCTAGAATCTTGACAAACACTAGAAAATATGATCATATTTCGCCAGTTCTAAAAGAGCTAGGTTGGATATCCATCAATAACCAGTTGAATTTAAGGGATGCTTGTCAAGTTTTCAAAATAGTGAATGGACTCGCCCCACAATATCTATGTGGAAAGATAAGCAAAAGATCTGAATCACATACCTATAACATGAGATATAAAGACNACAAAAAAATATATGTTTGGTTGGACGCTTTGTTTGGACACCATACATTAATCTCTTTGTAATTTTGGCGTGGTTTGAATGTCCGTAACTACATTGCTATATATGTAATATATAAAAAATGAGCGGGAGACCTTTATGTATAGTTTAAAACTGCGAGCTTCAAGCGAGCAGTTTTATAGCCCATAAAGGTCGGACGCGAATATTTTATATTGCTTATCAAATTCCAACATAAGGCAAAGCATATTTCGAAAAAAACTTCAGGATAAAATATCAGTCATTTGTGAGAGAAAATGGAAGTGAAAGACATATGCAAATCAGGACAAATCTCTTGCTCATATAAAGATGCGGTCACGTCAATGATTTTCCATTGTGTTTACCTTATGAATTMTTAATGAATTTGATAATATAAGCTCAAACCTCATGAAACTTATTCAGTAAGCCTCTTGTGTGGTGCTATCTCACATTATTTAGTTATTCTTCGTGGAACCATTATTCAATTAGATTCTGAAGTTAGGGTCCCAGTCCCTCTTTCGTTTTATTATAGGCGAAATGTCCTTTGTTTGGCGGGTTTATTAAACCCACTTTAGCTGGCGAAACGTTTTCTTTTTTTTTATTAATCCGTGAAATATAGTTACAGCGCACATTCCTTTATTGCAGTTTAATTGTCTCGTTTTCCTTTTTCTTTAATTATCTCCCTAACCGACGACTTTGCCAAACTTCGAATATTCCAGGTTAATGAAATCCATTCTATAGTTATTTTATATTTGGCTGTTAACCAAGCAATATTGTTTAAATTTTAAGAAATTCAAGCATGGAAGAGAATTAAAGGTAAGTTTRTTACTATTCCAGATTTTAACACCCATAAAAGAATGATTACATGATACAGTCCTGATTCCATCAACTTAAACACGTTTATTTAATGYTGGTCGTTAGATAACTTGCATTTTTGAAATCGTTATTCATAAAAAGTGTTGCCGAAACACAGTCTCAAAAATCAATTTATTAAAACGGAGTGTCTAAACGTCAGGCAGTCTGACGTTTAATCCCAGGACTAAACGTCAGGCAGTCTAGTTTTTTCTTATAAAATCATCGGAACAACCGTAATTTCAATTAATACAACAAGGGAAATGCAATAAAGACCAAAATAATACTGTTCGACAAATTTGTATATTCACAAGCACGGCACTTTGAGATTTTTCGACTGCCTGACGTTTAGTCAGGGTAATAAGGTAATAAGGATCTTGTCAGAAATTAGCAGTGAGAAGGGGAGGTGGAAAATGAAAACCGGGTACTGAGAATATGGTGATGACATACCAGAGTTGTGGAAGTGAAATTTTCTAACCCTCTCTGTATCAGACCATCCCCCTTCAACCATGACCACAACAATTTATCATTGCCCCCAAGCAGCCAGTGGAAGATGGTGCAGGGACTATAATTAGACTATTGTTTCTTCATTAGGATATTTGATAGGCAGTTAATAATAATG